AGCCATGCCCTGACTTAGATCAGCCCAGAGGTTGTTTCAGGGTTAGATCTGTGAGTTAGCCGTGCCCTGACTTAGATCAGCCCAGAGGTTGCTTTAGGGATCGATAACATTTGGAAGCTTTTAGATCTATACTGGTCATGTCACTGGTCATAACTAGAGGAGATATTATGAAATTACGATAAGAGTTTACAAACCATCAGCATTTTTCTTGCACAGGAAGGAATGTTTCTGTGAACAGGACGCGTCTCTCCATTTGCCTTCATTGGCGTCCAAGACGACACAATCTCTTCCCTTACCATGGTCATCCTTAGCACTACTATCCCAGTCAGTATACACAGATCTTGACAATGAAAACACTTTTATTAAACATATTAATAGCACTTATAAAGTCGATAAGAACTAGAACTGTCTTCTCAATTAGTACACGTGTCATTCTCTTGAGTATTATTTCTTTTTGAAACAATATTTTCTCATTCCTAACACGTGACATTTCTTTGAGTATCGTTTCTTTTGAAAGCATATTTTTCTCATTTCATATCACGTGTCATTCTCTTAACTATGATTTCTTTAATTATAATTTTCTCATTTAATATCATGTGTCATTCCCTTGAGTATTATTACTCTTAAGAATCATATTTTTCTACATACTTGCTTCCATCGCTCCATCGCCATGTTCCAGCAAGAGACTTGTCACGATATCCTAGCCACGATTCTACGTTGGTAAAGTTTTCTAAAAACCGCTGCTCATACGCATTGRTGACACTAAAGAGATCGCCTCCCGCTGACTTGCAACTCTTGCGGGCGTTATCCCACGTGCTTTTTCCGTAAACTACTTTGTAGCAGAATGTTCCGAAATCACCAAGAGCCCCTGTCCATCCACTTCCACACTGCAGATCTGTTGAAGTTAAAATAGGTAAAAAATTCGGTATTATAGGACTATAGTTCTGTAGTAAATACATTGAAGGGGAAAATTGTGACATTTGATAAAAGTAAAAAATTCTCAAGATGATAACCGAGAGATTGGCGTGCATGAAGATAAAATCGATAAACAAGAAGACAAACAAATCAATAAAACAGTAAATGAGAATGACGTAGAAGGACAAAGAAACGAAGGGAGGTAGAAAGATGGAAGAGCTGTATAGAGGCATTGTGCCATCACGTGATTGCAGCCATGACAGGAGGCATGAACAAATAAATCTGGTCTAATCTGATTGACATGAGAAAGAATTCAGTCTCCTATGAGATAAAGACTCTATTGTTGTGCCTCCTCCAAAACCTCTATTCAAAGACTCGTAAACACGAGAAAGTATCATGAATATAACTTGGCAAGGCAAAATGAGTCTTTGGTATTTACAGTTACCGGCCGTTTCTCTGTAACTTTTTTTAGTGGAAAACAAAACCTGTTAAACATGTTGTAAGAGCCGAGCTAACTGGTTTTCTCACCTGGTTTTGGTCGAATTAGATTCTTCTTTCCAATTCCTCCTTCTTTAGTCTCAGTTGGTTTTGGTAGTTGGTCACTTTGATCACCCTCTGGGGGGAGTGGGATTGGATACGGATTCCCTCCTTCTGGGAACCACTGTCTCGGTGTTTTTTCATTATCATTATCAGAGATGTCGTCGGACTGTCAAAGAAAACGCATGAAAGATAAAAGATGTAAAAGCAGCTGCAGCTATGTTTAGCATATCAAAAATTGAAAACGCGCGCACTTTTTGTGTGCAGTTGTAAAGCACGCGGGGATTGACTGAACAGAAAGGAATTGTCAGAAGAAGCATGACGCATAGCACGCACCTCAGAGGGCAAGGCTTTTTATCGCTTTTATAAAATACAAATAACAATAGACGTTATTTTAGACACGAAGGACGAAGTGCGAGCGCGCGCTGTGTGCTTTTAACCAGTCAGAGCGCGAGATTTATAAGTTATTTTATGAAGGGTCTCAGCTTTTTTGTTAAAATGACAGAATTGTCATTTACCTGATAGTCATTATTTTCTGTGTAGCCATGATTGGCAGCTGTACCCTCAGGGGGGATGGAGTAGGGATAGATTGGTGGTGGGTTTGTTCTTGTATCTGTTTTAAATATAATGGAAAAATATACAATATAAAAATATACAATATATATTTAAAAGAAAAAAGATTCCTCTCAGTTCCCAAAACATCTTTGGCTATCTTTGTACCATCTCGAAAGGTAGCAGTGCCTTTGCATCGAATCAATACGAATGGTGACCTCGCAATGATAAAGACATGTGAATAAATGTCCAAGGTGTTAAAAAAAGGTCCGTATCATTGCAAGCTCACCGTTCGTCTCGCTTCGATGCAAAGGCATTGGACCATTATCTTGACCTTGTCCCTTATTATATTTATAGATAAAAATGTTCATTCTTCTCACTCACCTGGATCATTGTATTGGTCTTCAGAGGAGTACCTCAAAGGAGGCAGCTCATTGTGGTTCAATGGCGGCAAAACGTTGGCACTCTCAGCACTCGGCGAGGACTGGTAGCTATTCTTCAGCTGGTCAGCAGTTATTTTGAACCTTGATCCTTCAGTGTTGGCTGGCTTGGAGAAAAAGAAGTTCATCTCTGGGCTGTTTTGCGCATGCTCGAGAGGAGGCAGCATAGGAGGTCGATAGCTCTTAATGCTTTCATCTGATTGGATAAAAATAGACATAATGGTGAGTTAACAATTTAAGTAACGATCAACCGAAACACGTTACGTCATCGCCGCCATGTTGGTCGTATTTAACAAAAAATACCTCATTAATACCGCCAATATGGCCACCATGTATTTGTCTTTTACCATTTGATTACGAAACCTTATGACCACCTATTCGTCGCACTATATTATTTCAATTCATTTACATATGCGATACTAAAGTTTAACCTTAGAAAATGGCATCCAATTAAAGTAGCATAGACAATCTTACGTGCATTATTTAGTTAGTATACATATATAGATCAGTTAGTAATGTCTGTTATTGATGTCCAAAACACCACATATACACATAATCGAGAGATTTAGATTGAAATTACATTAAAGTTTTTCTGATTAGCACTGACAATGGATAAAAAGATTCAATAGTGCAATTAGATAATAATAAGAAAAACAGATTTGGATATTTGTACATATAATATGCTTAGAAATTCATGCCCTGTCCGTTATGACATGCCTGTAGTATATGCGATAGCGTGACATGTCACGTTCCAGTCACGATGGTGTACTGTAATAAGTTTCTATGCTATGTCCACTGATCAAGCATGATGTTATTTACAGTGTTTATATCATATTTTGCTGAGATGTAATTGCGTTACACATGCTTTGTCACGAGATCGCATCAAACATTTTCTGTCACATAACGTCACGTTTTTCTTAAACATGCAATCGGGCAATTCGTGGTAATATCTTCCATGTTTCTCAGTCACACAACGTTGTCATAGTGTGATACCTGTCACGCAACTCTTTAACATGCCTTTTGTCTTCATTCAATTGTCCAGTCCAATCATGCAGTTAAAACATGCCGGTGCATGTCACGCAATATTCTGCTATCAATCAAACCTTGTGAACTTGGAATGGAGGCCAACTTGCTTGTTCCAGTCCACTGAGAGAAGTCGTGTGAGCCGAGGGTCTGAGGCTGAGTTTGCCACATCTTTGGAATTCTTCCATGGAGAAATCCCCGGACGTCTGCTGACATCGATCCATGTTTTCTTTCTTGCGGAGTGATCAAGATCTTTGAGTTGAACCTCTGATTAGTTGCGACCACATACTTACCTTTATGTTTATAATCGTTGAGTTTGTCTCCAGAACTAGGAATCTTTTTGTAAGGAAGATGGTGGTGGATTGTTGATACTGGGCCATTAAAACCAATCTTAGGTTCGAAACCCAGGAATGGGCTTCCTAAGGGACCAATGTACCCTGTTCTTTGTCCAACTCGATATGCACTCGACTTATCGTTGTATCCGTTCTGACCATCAATCACTTGTTGGGAGGGAAATGTTTGAAAGCTGGTTTGTTGAGAGGGCATTGTTTGGGTGGTATCAAAACCGGTTTGATAACTAGTTTGCTGAGTAAAACCAGGTTGACCTGTATAATCAGTTTGAAAACTGGTTTGCTGGGGTACGTCTTGTTTACTTGACTCATTTTCTAAACTAGTTTGAATTGGCAAACTTTGTTGATTAGTTTCACTTTGAAGGTCATTTTGTCCTGTTTTTATAGGATTATTATTTTCATATTGGATACCCTGTATTGGAAGTTGTGGCTCAATTTTCGTCTGATTGTTGTCTTGGAAAGTGCCATCTTCTGTTGTTGCAAGGTTTGGTACTGAAGCATCCTGCACTTGAAACGAAGTACTCGCGTTATTACTCGGTTGAAGCGGAGTCAAAGATTCTGTTGGCATTTTCCAACTATTTAGTTGTACTGGGTTTTTTAGTGGATTTGCCACAAGGTTCTCAGCAAATGACGTCGTTCCTTGCTCTTGTTGCCATGGATGCATGTTTGACGTCATTTGCCCAGGATAAAAACCAGCAAAGGCGTTGTCATTCTTTAAGGAATCTTTACGATTTGAAAAGAAGTCGGAAATTAAATCTAGATTCTTCTTATCCTGTGGAATACCTGTTCTTGTCGAGCCCTGGTCATCTTGTTGCTTCTCTGAAAACAAGTTTGTTTGGTTTGTATTTTTATCACTCAAGCCTGGATTTTCCAATTGGTTATCGTTCGTTACAAAGGACACTGTCTTGGATGAACTGTCTTGTTTGCTGCTCGATGCATCTTGTTGCTTACCTTTCATACTTAAAGGGTTTATATCAATACGGTTAAACAACGCCCCTTCAATGAATGATTCAGTCGGGTTTGATTTTGCTGCCTGTTTTGTGTCGTCACTGGAGGAACCAGGATCTTTGTTGAACGAAGCGAATCGATGGGTATTTGCAGATCTGTTCAATCCTTGTGGTGACCTCTCTACTTGGTTAAACAAAGCACTCTCCAAGAATGAGGACTTTAGAGGTTTCATCGTGCTTGGCGTTGCTATTATATTCTCTGGCTTACGTCCTAGGAAAGGAACTCTTAGTGGGTTGCCTGTGGAGTCTGTTAACTTGTTTACATCTGACTTAGCACGTCCAGTATAAAATGTAGGCAAGTATGCAGATGGCTTAGGTTTGGTTCCTTCGCTAAATTTTGTCGATAAAATAGTACTGGTCTTTGCTTCAAAAGGTAAGAATGACTGCGTCCAAGGTTTTGTACTTTGTAACGAAGGCTTCCTAAGGAATGATTTTCGCGTGAGGTTTAAATTAGAGTCTTGATTTTGTGGAGTTGTAAACCAAGTGTCCTTTTTCATTCCATTGCCATCTAGAAACGTTCCTGCAATTTCTTGATTCATATCTTCATCATTACTCATATCTTTCTTCACTGATTCAGAGGGATTCTGAATCCTATCAAAAGGATGAAACCAGCCTGGAAACCTGGACTTAACATCAGCATTTTCTGAGCTACTTATTTGTGGAAGTAAATTAGGATCTATCCGTGAGTTATGGTAATTTTGATAGAAAACCGATGGATCTGGTAATTCTGAAATCTTGGAATATTTTGAATGAATTTGATATTTATCGAAGTCTTCAAGGTTATTGTTAGGCGATAGAAAAAATCTCGAAGTATCGTCCGATGCTCTTAGTGATGAATCATTCTTAAAGATCTGCGAATCCTGATCGACATTCTCGTCATTGTCTGAATCTTTATCCTTAATTATCGTCGTTTTTTTCTTGGGAACGAATTTTATAAAATTACCGTATTTGTCAGTTATGACAGAGTCCTTATTTAACGAATCTGAGGGATTTGTAGTAACCTTGGGTGTTAGGGTCATTGTGTTGGACTTCCTTGACCCCTCCTGATCTAGATTATCCTGTCTTGATAAATGATTGTCTATCGTTGCCAAATCAAAATGCTGATTATAATTTTGGTTGCTAAGCGACGTTGGATTTTGAGTCTGGTTTCCTGCTTTGACTGAATCTAATAAATCTGAGATTTCAGATTTTAGCTTTAATATAGTGTCGTTTTTACTAGCTAAGGGATCGATATTCGACTTTGAAACTGGATCAGCGGTTAACGGCTCGCTGACAAAATCCTGATAACGGTCAAGGTCCGAAGCTATATCGTTGCCAAGGTTACGAGAAGTACCTTGATAATTCTCAAATACGTTCTTACCATAATTAGTCAATGGTGGTAGAATATTCTGTTGTTCTACCCCTTGTAAAAGAGGAGGAAGATTGGAAGCCGTTTCCATCCCATGATTCAATGGGGACACCGACTCTGCTTTGTAACCATGGTTCAGCGGAGGAAGATTGGCCGCGAATTCCTTCCCATGATTCAGTGGTGGCAGTATACCTGAATTCATCCCGTGATTCAGTGGGGGGAGAGCTTTGGCGTTTTCCGTCCCATGATTCAGTGGTGGCAGTACACTTGAATCCATCCCATGGTTCAGTGGGGGGAGAGCTTTGGCGTTTGCCGTCCCATGATTCAATGGTGGCAGGGCACCTGTTTCGATCCCATGATGCAGTGGGGGTAGATTGTCTGCTTTTTCTTTTCCGTGGTTCAAAGGAGGCAAATCTAAATTCATAATCCAAAAATACCAGTTAATAAGTTCTTCAAGAAATGAAGTCAGGGAGTCAGTTAGTGTTCACTTCCTTTCTTGATATTTGGGGGAAAGAAAGTGTTTTCTAGTTTTGTGATAAGCACTTCTACGAGAAAAAAATCATATCTGGGTCACCCTTACCTCCTCTGCTTTGGGCCTTTTCTCCACCACCCAAATCGTCGTCACTGAAGTCCTCTTTGACGTAATCGCTCAAGTTATCTACGTCACTATTCCCACCCATACTACTTTTCTTGGGGATTTTACCAGATATCTCAGCTTGGGAAACAAAAGGACTCGAAGTCATTCCCATTGTCTTGTCATCTTTTGGTTGAGACGCAGTAGAAAGTTTCGAGGCAAGAGACCCGAATAAAGAGTCTGCTTGGTGCTCATCGTTAATTGTAGAATCCTGTTTTGTAAATGCGTCGTCTGAAAATGAGGACATCTCGTCTGTGTTTTCCATTTCTTTACCGCCAATTTGTGCTGTTGCGGCGCCAGCGCTGGGTTGGTTTGCGAAGTAAGAATTGCTTTCTGGCAAAATATTTATTTTATTTTCTGCAAAGCAAAGAAATATAAAACTCATTTTATTAGTCAGATGAAGATTATATAAAGAAGCAAGTGTTATTAAGGAAAATACGGCTATTACAAGACCTTTGAGCTGAATATCTTGACTGGATACTAGGGGGTAGCTTTAATTTATAAGTTTGCTTTTCAACTTGGTTTCGAGTAAAGTTAATACTGGCTCCAACATTCAATAGTTTGCTCTAGTTTTACCACTTTCAGCTTAGCTAAGGTTTGCTCACACTAGCGTAGGAATTGGTATCGGAAGCATACATAGACTTAATAGACTAAAACAACGCGAAAGTTACCGTATTAATTATACAGCTTCTCATTAATCCCATATAGGTAACTGTCCAATTATTTTCTTAATTGGACAGGTCTTGTTGACATGGGATTAATTAGGYAGCTATATAATTAATAGGTAATGGGATTTCATGCTCCTCAATCAAGAAATAATTAGACTCAAAAAATTCCTCTGACTGCCAAATTGGACTCGACCTACGGCCTCATCCAATTTTGYCAGTCCTCGGAATTTTCCTCGTCCTATTATTTCTTAATTGGACAGCATGGAGTCCTATTACATATACAAATTCTGAAAAGCCGCCATTTTGTTGCCACGAAGGGGACCTCCCCTGTCTCCGCCCTTGATAAGACACATCTCACATACCTGTCTTGGAAGAAGGTTGCTGATTTGGTTGGTTGTTGAAAAAGCTCGCCAGTCCAGGAGCTGTTTTCTCCTTGTTATCTGTCAGGTATAATTAGAGTCATTTACTATATTAATAACGATTCAGTATCAAATGGTTTTCAAAAAACATTCTCGCTTGTGTCAGCAAAGGAAAATCTCATGGTCACCAGGTGAAAAAGGCAAAGAATTGTGAGAATGAATTTGGGGACTCGAAATGGCAGAGCATTTTTATTTTACCATAAGGTATTCTGCTATACTCCCATTTCGAGTTGGCCTTTGCTCAGTCTTAGCCTACATTTAAGTGTTTATCAAAGAATAAATGTTTATTTTCAAAATCACTTATATGTGAACAGCGTAGTGAAATGGTTGCAGTATTTTTGTATGTAAAATTTTCTTTTGGGAGATATAAACATATGAAATATCAATATGCAAATGAGATGACGTATATTCAAGAATGGGTTACATTTTGAAGTGTAATTTACGACAAGTGTTCTGAAGTAAAATAACCTAAAAGTGTACAAAGCCATATATTTCAGTTATAAGGATGATTTGCAAATGAAAGAAAAGGAGTACTTCCCACAACAGCATTTTTGTATAATAAATTAGTCTTGAATTTACGTCATCTCATTTGCATATTGATATTTCAAATGTTTATATCTCCTAAAAGAAAATTTGACATACAAAAATACTGCAACCATACTACTACACTATTGACATATAAGTGATTTTGAAAATAATTTTTTTCCCTTCATATACACTTTAAGTACAAATGTATTCTTTTCTTTTATTAATGTCCACCGTATAGTAAGGACGATACGAGTTGATTAAAATGCCACGGGTTTTGGTTGAATAGCTGAACATCATAACGCACAACCGAGACTAAGACTAAGCAAAGAGAACTCGAAACTGGAGTATTTTGGAAAGTAAACTACCATATTTAGCAGAAGCAACAGTGTTTCTGAGTGTCCCAAACTCCTGCCCAAGTGTTAAAAGTATAAGAGAATGAAAAAATTTTTCTTATTACAAAAATAACTAATATTGTATAGTAATGTTTCATTTTAATTGTGATTTTATATTTTAAACGCTAAAAGTTATTAATATTATCTAGCTTGAACTATTAGAAATTATTTTTATTATTAGATGATTGATTGCGCAACAGTATCTTTGCGTTTATTGGGATAATATTATTATATTGGTAGTCATTAATGTTATGATACTTAATTCTGATTGATTGCGCAATCAGTGTCTCATTTTTCATTTGGATAATATTAGCACATTAATAGTCACTAATATTATGCAACAGTGTCGGTAAGCTAAATTTCATGAAGATGATATTAACACGTATTGATTAATCATTAATATTATCTTGCTTTATTGTCTATTTAAAGTAATATTTCTATCTATTATAAGCATTAAAGTGCCTATCACCCTTCTAACAATATTCACAGTATTGATTCTACATGGGGTATGATATGGAATAACCCGGGGGAAAATATAGTTTGAGTGCAGCTTCTTGAAGTCATAAAGGTTTTTCCATGCCATATGCTAATGTTATGACGTATGAGGAGTAATCATTTAATATACAAAACATTACTGGCACAGATAAATTAAATTTGAAATACGTCATTGTTTTGCCCATTGCTCTTATAGAAATTATTGCAAGCTATTTTTCACATAGAAGCCGGTGTTTCGAATTACAAGGAACAACAAATAACCATAAATGCCTCCTCATGCGTCACCGCATTAGCATATGGCATGGAAAAACCTTCATAACTACAAGAAGCTGCACTCAAACTATGAATTTTTTTCAGGTTATTCGACATCTTACCCCATGTAGAATCAATACTGAGAATATTGTCAGAAGGGTGATAGGAATTTTAAATTTTATACTAATTACTAATTTATACTTATTTTTTCATGCTTGAGCAGTTTATATATATTAGGATATTATCATCGTTTATATTTTTTATGTATTCTTCAAAGTAAGGTCAGTTTAGATTAAGAGAGCTCAGTCTTATCGAAGCATAAAACGTAGACCATTCATTCTCGTTACCGCTGACCTGTAGTTATTCCATTGATCAAATCGTCCTTCTTTTGTGCCATATTTGGATAAAATGTTCTTTCTACAGCAGAGGCTTTAGGGCCTTGAGCATGCATGTGGGATTCCTGTGGTTTTGATACCACTGGTCTAATGTTTTGAGGCACATAAGGATAACTTTTTCCTTGTCCTACAGCCACAGAACCTATTACGTAATTCCAAATACAATTACTCTGTAATTTATAGTGAAATAGTATTTTTGTATGCGCGATGCATTATGGTAAATGTAGTTCCAGCCAGAAATGTTCGCTTTATTTTTCGTATTCATTAGTTAAGAGCAACATGTTTGATGCTATGAAGCTTTTGAGTGCCACGTCACTCGTATAGGAAATCAACTTAGCAGTTATATAAAGTTTTTTCTTACTTTTATTCCCCGACAGGATTTCTTGTCCAAATTTCTTATTTTTACGGTGGAGATTAAATCATGGACAACATTTTTCGCTTTACTTTAGCGCTTTTTGTGAGCAGTTGGACCTAAAAATACGTCACAACTTAAAAGCTCTTATAGTATGTGTGTGTTTTGCACATATTCCCATGAACTTATGGTTTGCAGTATTCGAGTTTATAAACTCTATATTAGTATTGCTGGTTGCTAGGGGGCCGCAGTATAGCTTCTCAAGTCTAATATTTGCTATAGAATCGTGAAGCTCTGTCTTCAATATCATAGAATGAATATCACTTTAAACTAATCCACATTTCAAACTTAGCTCGACATTATGCGGTACGCAGAGACGGAACTGGGTATTAATCATTATTAATATATTCATTTATTTATAATACTAATAGGGATATGAAACAATAGGTAGCTTTACTATTCACATCGAAATGTAAAACGGGTATCGTACCATCACTTATATCGGCTGCCATATTGGATGACAGTCATAAGACGGAGGTGCTAGTGTCTTGGCATCCAACATGACTGCTGAGACATGACCGTACAACCGCAAATATATTGAGCTTTTTGATAGCTGTTTTTGATTTCTTGTTTTATCATAGTATATCACAGTATGGGATCACATTGTCTTATCGTACGCATTGGACTTTACTAGCATTGTGGGTTTAAAGAGCGGTCATTTTAGAAAGTTAAGTTTCCTCTGGGTGGATTTAAGGCTTATAGGTTACTGCCTAGCCTCCTGCGCAACTGCTTTGAGGCCCCTCCGGTTCCTGTAAATGTTAGCCATTCAGAATCGAGAAAATTTGCAAATCTGAGGTGTCACAAGACGTTTCTAATACGCGCTTGATAACAGTGGCACAATGAATAATGAGTTTTATATTTTTATTGCAATGGCGGGCATGTTTTTATTTTTCATTGGCCAACTTTCGCATGGCACCTCAGTTTTGCAGTGACGTCATTTCTAAGTCGCTATTTTCACCCCTAAAGCAGCCATGAAACGAGTACGCGCGGAATGTTAGCATGACTTTCTGGGTGTGATTCCTAGGTGAGAAGCATTATGAATGCCCCCGGGTCGTCAGTTGCCTATTTAAGAGAGAAAATCCAAGGTTTCGACCTCATTTGCTCAGGTTCGCTGTACCAGTCAGTGCTAGACGGATTTTTGACCCCATCCACCTCCCCTTCGGCGACGTTTTTCCATTTTAACAGATCAGTACGGTAGCTTGATCACAACCTCGGCAAAACTCGTGTTCCCAAAACTTAACCGCGTGTACTATTTCAGATCAGCTGGTTATCTTTTCCAAGATAAAATGTTGTAGGATGCAAAGAAAAAGACATGCAATACCAGAATAATTACTGTTGTTACTATGAATCATTTTTGCTCAAGTTGTAATTTCTAAATTTCAAAATTAGATTTATTTTGTACAATTACCAACTTCACAAGTTATTTCAGTATAACACCTTGATTATGAATGACATCGTTGCTTAGTAACGACGTTTCTGTAAGGTTACTAAGCAACAGTCGGTTGCTTAGCAATACTGTCAGTGTCGATGCATCAATAGTAGGACACCGCAAGCACGTAATTGGGTTATTAAGCCATGTCGGGCCTTAGTAACAGGTCACAGTGTACGTAGTAGTGTTGCTAAGCAATGACTGTTTGACGTTGGCAACGGGACACATCAGGCATGCAGTGTATTTTTTTTTTTTTGGAAAGCAAAGTGAATAGTACAACGAACAGCTCGGTACGGTATCGTACGGCATAATGCCAAAGTATTGCACGTGCAGTGAGACCAATCGTACATAGAATCCCATTGCTTTCCACAATGGCCACGAGCGTAACGCAAAGAACCTCAAAATTCCTCCATTGCCATAAATGTGTCACGTTGCTTGGTAACCAAGTCGTAAGACGTAATCAATACAAAGTCACGTGTCGTTGTGTTTACGTCATCATTTTAATATCTACAAATTCCTTCGTATACTGTAACGCTCACACAAAAGAACTAAAAAATTTCCTTTTCCCAAAAATATATTTATAGATGATATCTGAAGTCTATTTGATGTTGAGTGAAAACATTCCGCAAGTTCCAATGTATGCATTTAGTTGGTCTTTACGTTTCGTTTCCTTTTTTTCTTGTTTTCTTTGTCAGGAAAGAAACTTCTTAACTCTCGAAGGTTGACATCGTCGTCGCCTGTTGATTGGCAGAAAATATAATTGGAAGCCATTTTAGTGCTCAGCCATGCGCATGCGTAAACGTGAGTGTTGATAAGAAGGATCATCGAAACTTTTCTGCAAAAACCGAATGAGCAAAGGCACAAAAAAATCTGCATTTTTTAAAGAAGAAATTGGGTTTGATTTTGCATTTGTAAGACAGATATGTTTTTTGTTCTTGACTAAAGACATATTTCGCCAGTAAACTAATGCGCATGCTCGCTCCTTTCAATCCCAGCTTAATTTTGCATTTGGTCGACAGTATACGAAACTCTTTGTAGATATTAAAAATGATTGTAAAATGTCGTTGTCTTGTGATTGCCATTCTTTTAATGTGATTTGAGTTGATTTGAGTGATTTTGATCGCATTGGTTGAGATGACAGCCCTCGCGTATTGTAATCATCGTCAAAAAAACAAAACAAAAACAAAAACAAGAACAAAAAAAAAA